GTGCGCACCATTCCTGAAGGAAAGAAAGAACAGGAGCGCTGACTGAGCTGGGAATGTCCTCGCCGCTGGGGGAGGTGAAGGCACCGATCAGTCATTTTCTTCTGACCCTTAGCAGACTAAATAACTCCAGAAATTAGAAACCAGACTAAGAGATGAATCATGAAAGGAAGTGACTACGTAGATGCAATAAATGAAAGAATAAGCTCAGTAAACACTTGGATAATGGAGCCATTTTTAAAAGACTGTAAGAAAGGGCTGGGGATATAGTTCAGCTGCTTAAGCACCTGTCTGGCAAGCACAAGGTCCTGAGTTTGATCCCCAGTACTGCAAAAAACAAAAAACAAACAAACAAAACCCAAACAAAAAACCCCCAAGACTATAAGACAGTAATGGTCAAAATACAGGGATAAAATCATAGAATATAAGACAGTGAAAAAAGAACAGGTAAGTTTGAAAGAGTAGAAGTTTAATTTGTAAAAATAAACCACTTACACACCTATGTTTTAAGAACTTTAACAGTTGAAATTCTTTTTATTAAGGCAGTCATAATATATTAGGAAAATATACATTAAAATATCTCATTAGAAAAGAAAAAGACATACAAGCCCAGCACTCTAGGTGGCTGAAGCAGGAGGAGCAGAAGTTCTAGCCCAGCCTAGGGACTTAGGCTTTCTCTCAGGAAGTTAAAACGAAACAGGGCTGGCGATACAGATCAGTGTAAGGGCCTTGGGTTCAGATCCCAGTACTGCAGAAAAGAAAAAGTTTAAGCAAATCATGGTTTATTCTTTTCAAACAAGCAGCTTGCATGTAGGTTCAAGTCCTTGATGGCCCTGGAATGGTCAAAGGTTCTGTGCATGTACTGTTTTGACAGAGGTTACAAAATCGTGGGCCAAAGAATTTTTACCACTTAAACCCTTTGCTGATGTAAGTATGAAGCTGTTTGCCTCCTCCTGGGTATTTTCTGACTAGTTAGTTTGCATCTGTTATAAGTGGATATAAAGGATCTCAATGTCTTGATTTGTATCAATTAAATTATGAGTAAGAAGATTATTGATCCCTTTTGTGTTTTTATTAGTGAGCAGCCAGCTACAACTTTGCCAGGGTTTTTGTTGGCATGTGTATAAGAAGAGAGAGAGACACAAACACAGAGATAGAGACAGATAGAGAAAGTGGAATTATTTTCATGAGCATAGTTGCTAAAGTTTGAAATTCCACAGTGAAAGGCAACTTGGGACAAACTCCAGGCCAACTGTGAGGCAACTTCACATCACGTTTCGTAGTTGAGGACTTTGGAAGTTAAAAAATACTCCATAGGCAGGGACAAATTTCCTGTTGACCCTAGCTCTGCTTATCCCAGAATAAGAATAAAACACACGTGGAGGCGACAGGAAGCCACTGCTGTGGCCAGGCATCTGATGGATGGGGGAAGGGCCCTTTCCTTGATTTGGCTGACGTCTGGCGCCCTGGGCTTCAGCGGCCTGGAAGTGCAGGAAACAGCAGCACGTTAGTGTGCAGGGGGTTTCAGTGGAGCAGGCTGCTCTGCTGAGACCTCAGACCTGCCCGTTGACCAAGATGCATGATTTGAGCTCAGCTCCTTTTCTCCTCGAGGTCGGGGCTAGTGTGCAGCTCCCTTAAGAATGCACAAACCTTGCCTGACAAGTGCAAGGGCCTGAGTTCAATCCCTGGTTCTGCAAAAAAAAAAAAAAAAGCTCAAACCTGCAGGCGGGTGATTTCATTCTGATGAAAGTGATGCCCAGAGCAGTCGGGTCACACCTTCAAGGCCACACGGCTGGTGGGTGCCAGCGTAGGAATAGCTGGTCCTCAGGCCTGCGTACTGGGTGTTACTCTGAACACTGTACACACCACTCATTTATTCATTCATTTAAAAAGTTTATGTTGATAAAGTCTTGCTATATTGCCCAGACTGGTCTTAGCCTCCCAAGTAGCTGGGAATACAAGCGTGTGGAGCCTCACTCAAGTTCATAGTAACTCAATTAACTCTCTTGACAACCTCATGTAGTAGGTAGCCTTAGATTCTCATTTAACAGATGAAAAAACTGAGGCCCAGAGAGGTTAAATAACTTGTCCAAGGTGCCTAGCTGATGTGCGGGAGGATCAGGATTTCAGCCAGGCACTGTGGCTCCAGACTCTTGCCCCAAATTACTGCAGTGTGTCCTTCTGTCCGGGGACACACCACACTAGAGCTTTTTGTTTACTTTATTGTTTCCTTCACATGTACAACTGCCCTGAACTTCCCCAAGAATGAAATCACAATAGGTAAGGTATTTTTCAATTTTTTAAAAAATATACTTTCTTGGGGCTGGTGAGATGGCTCAGTGGTCTAAAGCACCTACTTAGAACAAGCTTAGCAAAGCACAGGGACCGCGGTTCAATCCCCCAGCACCACATGCCA